CTCCAAAGGTTACTCAAGTAAATGTAACTTCTTACTACCCACTTCTGTAAAAAATAGCTTTAAAACATTTTCTAACACTATCTTTGAGGTGCAGCCGGTGTTTGAAATGATTTTGTGTTTCGTGTATTGGGAACCACTGAGTTAGTTGATTACAATATTTTACTGTTTATAAGGCTCACAAAAACATATTACCTTTAAACATCCAAGCTCAAAGATTTTCTGATTCATTGGATGCAAATTGTTCAAATGTTTATTGCTTCCTGTTTGGAATTTGAACGTTCTAATTTTCTTTTCTCTGGAAGGCGTCTAACTTCATAAAATTCTGACAAATGTCCAACTTTTAGTTTAATAAAAACGAACAAGTTCAAAGCAATTGGCTGTCATGCAATTAGATATGAAGAGTTGGTGGTCCATATATTTTTTCATTGTCTTACAGGTGACTGAAGTAAAGAAAAACTACATGTTGTTGTTGTTATTTTTAAATAAGAGCAATATTCCTTCCAATTCTTTTACACATTTAAAATTCCTGTCTCATGGTGTAAATTGTACTGTATTCTGTAATGTAAAAAGAATGAATAAAATGTTAATTTAACATTTTTATGTGATTTTTGTGATTGACAGATGATTTTCTGCCAGACACAACTCAGTTTTATGTTAAGCCCGCCACCTGCTGGACAAGAAATGTATCAAACATTTTGCTGTCAACGCAAGATTGAAGAACATTAGTCAGTAAACAGTTCACTTAAATATAATTACTTTTGGTTTAAAAAATGTGTGCGAAATAAAATGCATTTAAAGTTGAGAGATGTCTGAAAATAAAAAATCCGTGCTACACAGATTACTATTACAGAATAGTACTACACAGATTACTAGTACAGAATACTATTCCATTCCGTAATAGTATTTTCCCCTCCCCCTTCGTAACTAACGCGGTCATTTAACTGTCCAATTAAATTCGAATGCTATACACAGAACCAATCAGATCCTTGTCCCGCTTTGATTGACATCTTGTTGGTCCAATAGAATCTGTCTTCAAGTTAGGATATATTCCCACCCACCATTTCTGATCGCTTCTGCATTCGGAATCGTCGAAGAGAGTGCGCCTCTTATAGTCTTTTGGCTGGTTGTAAAATCTTTAAAGAGGGAAAAATGAGGGAAATCGTACATATCCAGGCTGGGCAATGCGGCAACCAAATCGGAGCAAAGGTTGGTAAAGCTTTACAGCAAAAATGAACCTAATACTTTTGAAAGGCGGAAAAAAGGTAGCATAAAAAGCTAATGGCTCATCGTGGCTTGCTAGGCTAAGCTAGCTGGTTTTAACCCTTCGAAGATTGCTTCAGTAACCGTTATTTATTTTTATAATAAATCATCACTACCAGAAAGTAAAACATACATGAGTGGGCTATTGTGGCCAGGACAGTAAGATTAACTGGTGGAAGGAGGGGCTTTTTTTTTTATAGCATTTTAGCATCTTTAGCATCTAGCCGTCAGTTAGTATCTAACTGACGGCTAGCATCTAGCCGTCAGTTAGTTAGCAAAAATGCTAACTAACTGACGGCTAGTTTAGCCTTGAGGTCAAACAATAAGTCAGTTGGCTATTGTAAACATCTCTTTATTTTGACGAAAAAAGAGAACAGTGTACATAGCTGACAAATCCAGCAACAGTGAAGTCATATAGTTAGTTTTAGTTAATTTTTAAATTAAACGTTAGCTTATGTAGCCGAAAGAGCCACTATCACCATTGGTTTTAGCTTCTTTATTTCTTTTTTTTTTTTTTTTTTTTTTGAGAGTCAGTCTGCTTTAACTGTATTTGTTCTTTTTTCAATTAGTTCTGGGAGGTGATAAGTGAAGAGCATGGTATTGATGCCACCGGGTCTTACCATGGTGACAGCGACCTGCAGCTGGACCGGATCAACGTTTATTACAACGAGGCTACAGGTTGAACTTGTGCCAAACATTTTTAGCTACTTGATTAAGATGTCCTAATCTGCTACCATTTATAAGCGTTACTAAGTTTCCAACATACATCCAACTACTTGCAACCTTTAAAATGCATCAAAATTTACCTTTAATGGTTAAGACAAAATTAAGCACATTCTTGTTGTGACCCACTATAGCTAAGCTAATCATTTAGACAAGTTAAGGATGGGGGGGGCTAATTAATTTAGTTTTGTTTATTGCTGCATACAGTGTCTAATAAATACCCAGTCAGTGAAACTGAATGTTGAATGATTAGGTTCACTAAAACATGTAGTTTACAGACTTGTGTAAACACAAGGATATTCATGTAGAACGACATGTATACTTTTTTGGGGTCATTGTTTTCCAAAGCATTTGATCATTTTTGTTTTTTCTGTTTCTATTCCAGGAGGCAAGTATGTTCCTCGTGCAGTTCTGGTGGACTTGGAGCCTGGCACTATGGACTCTGTTCGGTCTGGTCCTTTCGGTCAGGTGTTCAGACCTGACAACTTTGTCTTTGGTGAGCATTTTAGTTTTAAAAAGTAGTGGTTTTACACATTAAAGTATACGTACACTACAATATCTTAACTTTTCTGTGTGACAGGCCAGAGTGGAGCCGGTAATAACTGGGCTAGAGGCCACTACACTGAGGGAGCTGAGCTGGTGGACTCGGTTCTGGATGTGGTGAGAAAAGAGGCGGAGGGCTGCGACTGCCTCCAGGGCTTCCAGCTCACGCACTCTCTGGGAGGAGGCACAGGTTCTGGCATGGGTACACTCCTCATCAGCAAGATCCGAGAGGAGTACCCGGATCGAATCATGAGCACTTTCAGTGTTGTGCCCTCACCTAAGGTTCATATAATTCATTCAAATATGTTCAGATTAAATGTTTGTGCCACTTCCTGCTAACCCTGTTCCATTTTCTTCCTTTGGTTCCTCTTCCAGGTGTCGGATGTGGTGGTGGAGGCCTACAACGCCACGCTCTCTGTCCACCAGCTGGTGGAGAACACAGATGAGACCTTCTGCATCGATAACGAGGCCCTGTATGGCATCTGTTTCCGTACTCTGAAACTCACCACACCCACCTACGGTGATCTCAACCACCTGGTCTCAGCCACCATGAGCGGGGTGACCACCTGCCTGCGCTTCCCTGGCCAGCTGAATGCCGATCTGAGGAAACTGGCTGTCAACATGGTGCCCTTCCCCAGGCTGCACTTCTTCATGCCAGGCTTCGCCCCCCTGACCAGCCGGGGCAGTCAGCAGTACCGGTACTGAAACACAAACCCAGTTCTAACTGTGAAATTTTTGTTCAAACTAAAATTGACGTTTTGTTTTGTTTTCCTCCACCCTCAGGGCTCTGACGGTCTCTGAGCTCACCCAGCAAATGTTTGATGCCAAGAACATGATGGCAGCGTGTGACCCGCGCCACGGGCGCTACCTGACGGTCGCCGCCATCTTCAGAGGACGCATGTCCATGAAGGAGGTGGACGAGCAGATGCTGAACGCGCAGAACAAGAACAGCAGCTACTTTGTGGAGTGGATCCCCAACAACGTCAAGACGGCCGTCTGCGACATCCCTCCACGCGGTCTYAAGATGGCCGCCACTTTCATCGGCAACAGCACGGCCATTCAGGAGCTGTTCAGACGCATCTCAGAGCAGTTCACCGCCATGTTCCGTCGCAAAGCCTTCCTCCACTGGTGAGTAAAACACAGCAGATCTGTGTTCTGGTGCTGGTCCATTCTGACAGCTCTGTCCCTGTGACAGGTACACTGGTGAAGGTATGGATGAGATGGAGTTCACCGAGGCTGAGAGCAACATGAACGACCTGGTGTCAGAGTATCAGCAGTACCAGGATGCCACCGCAGAGGAAGAGGAGGAGTTTGTAGACGAGGCTGAAGAAGAAGGATACTAAACATGGGTGTAGCCAAGATTTGTTTTTATTTTTTATTTTTTCATGGGGTCTTTTTGAGTTAACTGTAGAGTAAGGGGTCGTGTTTAGGCTATAGAAACGACCAGTAAATGACTAAAAGTCAATGGAAAGTCCCCACAAGGATAGAGAAACGTTGCTTGTGTGTGTCTTTGCTTCACAGTTCTGCTCTCACCTGGTGTCACCTGTTCCTAGTAGTTGATTCCCCAGGTGTTTGAGATTTGTGTTCAGTAGGGTTTCCTTTATATTCTCTTTATGTTTGAGTTAATCCTGCTTTGTGTTTTGGCTGAGCCAAGTTGTGGTTGTTCTCTGTGGCAACGTGTTTTAGCAAAGAAGTTAGAATGTCAGCAGGAGCTTTAGGTGACAAAAATACTCCTGTTCATGTCACTGAAAACTGTTGTTCAAACTTGTTTAAATCTAGCAGCAAGAGTTAAAAACTGGTTATTTGAAATTACTCATTCTTTGGCACAAGCCAGTTATTCAGCTTCTGATGTCTTTTCTTTTTTTTACGGGGTGATCCCTGTGTTTCCTTATGGAAACACAAGTACCAGGGAAATGTACAGTTTAAAAACTCCTGCTTTATTACAAATGCAACAAATTCTGAATTATAATGCAGGTATTGTACTGGGAAACACAAGAATGTGACATGCCCACTCCCCTGTTTTCTTGTTTTTTTCATGTGTTTTGTTGCTTCAGTGACTGAATTAAAAACTTCTCATCACTTGAGAAAACCAGATCTTGTAGGGTTTTTTTTTCTGAAAGAAAAGTTGCGTTATTCAGAAAAAATTATTGAAATTTTCAAAAAAAAAAAAAAAAAAGCCAATTCAGATCAGATTGCCTACATTGCTACACTTATACAGCATGAAAAGTGTAAAATGAAATGTAAAAAAAAATCACTGACATTTTTCATTATCTGACTTTTTGAGTGTTGAAATATTTCACCAACATTTTATTTAGCTCACTGTTATGTTTAGACAAAGTATATTTAAATGATAAAAAGTGCATTTGTGCAGGTTTCAGCATGAGAAATGTTAATTGTGTGTGCACACAGTTGGATGAATTAAAATGTACAGAATTAAAAATATTCTGTACATTTGAATGAATCTTATACATTTACCTTTTGGGGTCAACATTGTCAGTTTGACCTGTATACTGTGCTTCACTGCCACATGTTTGCTCATCTTAACTTGTAAGTTAAAAGCTTCTCTGGGGCAGATGATACTGTCTTTATACATATATATTTTTATATTATTTATATTTATTTTTTAGTGGGATAGAATCATTCATATTCCATTTGGAAAATGGAGAAATGATATTAAGATTTGGGGTAAGTCATATATATCTAAATGACTTTTCGTGTATATAACGGAGATGGACAAACGAAAACTGAGCGTTGTAGAAGAAAAGAAAACAATGACAAGGGTAGTGTATTCATCTGAAACAGGCTGAGGGAAACTAAAGAAGGCAGGGTGAGAATGGAGTTTGGAAAGAATCTTAGGAACAGAAGATGAAAAAGAAGATATCAGTTTTAGGAAATCATTCATATACTGTATCTTGCATAATACAAAACGGGGGGAAAATTTTGTAGGTGGAGGTTGTGTAGTTACATACTCTTGTACAGTAGGTGGCAGTATACACCTTAGAGTCTATGATCCCGCAAAAAATACAAAAGAAAATGATGTAATTACAGCTGCCCAGTAGGTGTTCTATTTTACAGTATTAAATTGTGTTAAAATACACTAATAACATTTCTAAATTGTGTCATGATACACAGTTTTTATACGACATACCAACAATCAGAGGTGAGTAGAGTACCCAAACGTACTCAAGTAATAGTAGCACTACAACCATTTTTTACTCAAGTAAAATTAAAAAGTAGCGTCCAAGAAATTACTCAAATAAGACTAAAAAAGTATTTAGTAAAAAGGCTGCTTGAATACTGAGTAAGTGATCATAACATCTGATTTGATAGTTTTAAAATTGTGTCATCAGACTGACAAAAAATAGTAAACTTGCAAAAGCTGTTGTTTTTCAAGACTAAAAAAGTACCGTGTAATAAAACTACTAAAACATTTTTTTCCTCCAAAGGTTACTCAAGTAAATGTAACTTCTTACTACCCACTTCTGTTAAAAAATAGCTTTAAAACATTTTCTAACACTCTGAGCTGCAGCCGGTGTTTGAAAGGATTTCGTGTTCCGTCCAGAAGGGGGCGCGTCACCGGCAGAGAGTGGGCAGAGCGCGTTCCCGCAGCAACAGGGAAGATGGCAGCCCTCGCATCTCTCACTCAGGTAATGATACAGCTTTTTTTCTCAGCGTCACCCCCGCGGAGGCTCACTGAAAGTGTTGGCGTGACTCAGCATCTAACACCAGTTATCCTGTAGTGCGAATGAGGTTTCGAGGAGAGCGGGGTTTTCCCGTGAAACGGTGCTCTAAATAAACGCTGTCAGCTGGTCGAGCCGAGGCCTGCAGTACCGTTAGGCAGCGGAAGGGTTAGCATCATCTGTCGATGGTTAGCATCTCCTGCTCGGCCATGTTGTTATTTATCTCTGGTGTGTGGCGTAAAGGTCTTAATTAATGCACGTGACAGAAACAAACGCTGCGGACACCGTGTGCAGAACCAGAACCATACGGTGGGATCCGGTTCGGTCTACTTTAGGCTCCTGGAGCTAGCTCCTAGCTCCTCTGTCAGGTACAGGATGGATAGGAGCTCCATAATGATGATGATACTGATGAAGGCTGAGCTCAGAGCAGAGGAAACGTTTAGCTCACGGTCATGACATCATGACGGGACCATGTTTTAAGAATATTTTAAGGTAAAAGCTTTAGCCTCAAACTGGGTGGACTGGTCTCTGATTTTCACGTGTTTTTTCAGACCAATATGAAACTTCAGCTCCACTTCTCATAAAGCTGTGTTATACAGGCGTTCACACAGTGGGCCTAGATTAAAAACCTGATCAAGAGAAATTTAAATATAT